TTCCAAATGTTCTTCAGAGTACCAAGCTGGACAGAACTTTTTTTTTTTTTAAGTCCAGGCAAAAGTGTAGTGTTTGAGGAACCAGCAAAAATAAGAAGAGCTTAAAATCTCAACTTCTGCAACTTTCCAAGATGTTTTTGTCTCTTGGATTGTGGTGGCTGTGGGATATTGTGGTGGCTGTGAGGAGTGGGAGTGCTGCTGTGTAACTTAATAGTCATTCTGCAGACTTCTTCCAAATAATTTATTTCAACCTCCTGGCCAGAGTGTTTCCCAGACTTCATTTATAGCCACACCTGATACAGACAGAAGCCAGAAATACGCACTCCTGTGTATTTGTCTTGTCATGTTTCTAAACATTGCCTCTTATCCAGAATGTGGGCTATCCTGTGTTTGCCTGAAAAGCAGTAGCCAAATACCGATTTAATGTGGTTAGCAGGTCGTTCAAGAATAATAGAATCGTTTAGGTTGGAAAACAGCCTGAAGATCATCGAGTCCAACCATAAACCTCACACTGCCAAGTCCACCATTAAACCATGTCCCTAAGCACCACATCTTACAGGTCTTTTAAATGCCTCCCGGGATGGTGACTCAACCACTTCCCTGGGCAGCCTGTTCCAATGCTTGACAACCCTTTCAGTGAAGAAGTTTTTCCTAACCTCCAATCTAAACCTCCCCTGGCTCAACTTGAGGCCATTTCCTCTCGTCCTATCGCTAGTTACTTGGGAGAAGAGACCAACGCCCACCTCACTACAACCTCCTTCCAGGTAGTTGTAGAGCGCGATGGGGTCTCCCCTCAGCCTCCTCTTCTCCAGGCTAAACAACCCTGGTTCCTTTAGATGCTCCTCACAGGACTTGTTCTCTAGACCCTTCTTCACCAGCTTCGTTGCTCTTCTTTGGACACGCTCCAGCACCTCAGTGTCTTTCTTGTAGTGAGGGGCCCATCCATCATCCCGTCAGTTTTTCTGTAGAGGAGGAAATTTTTGTGAACATCTTCCACCTTTGCTAATAATGGCCCTGTCCACGGCCATACTGCATGAAAAGCTTTTATCCTCGCTGGTATTTTTATTTTACTCTGCGCATCTTTAAACAGTGCAGGCTCAGAAACATTGATTGCGGTGATGTGGTGTGACTGCTTTAGCTCTTGGTGTTGCTAACTCCAGTGGGTCTACACTGGCTTCCCTAATGGGACAGCATTTTAGTAGTTCTCCCCAGTACAGACAAGCCCTTACTGTGCACTGTGTGTTATCCCAGCTGCGATTTAGATTTGGGGTATCTTTGGTCTTTGTGCAGCAATTTCTGCACATGAACAGATAGGAGTTGATCCAGTCAAGTCCTTGCTCAGCTAGTCTCCGCTGGAAGCTGCTCGTGACATAACCTGCAGTATTTGAGCAAGTATTAAGTCTGTATGGCTTGGGAAAGTCCAAAGGGAACTGCTGCGCCTTGGGATTTGGCTGGATATGTATCACAAAGGTCCTCTGAGGCCAAACAGGGAACACACTATGGTAGCGAAATATCTAAAGTGGTAACTTATTGTTAATGTTTATTTTGCATTATGTTAGCATTTGTTTTGGGATTTCTCCCTGTAGAGAAATTACTGTCTGTTTTTGTCTTTTGCCACTATAGTATCTGAACCCTTCACAAATGCTAGTTAATTTACCCTCATAACGTTTGTGTTTTGGCCATGGTTTTATTCCCATCTGTGCAAGTGCAATTGAGGGATGGTTTCTAAAAAAAAAAAAAAAAAAAGATAAATATAAGTATCGAGCTAATTACAGTGTCTAGATTAGTAAGACTTTCAGCATTTTTGACCATACGTGTGGTAACTCACCCAGGAAGCGTTTTATAGAACTGTCTGGTTGCTACCGCAGAGTCAGCCTCTGGAAGAAACAACAGTTGTGTATATATAGAAAGAGGAAAGCTGATGAAGGTGGCAGACTGTACTTGTTCCTTTCCAGGCTGGCTTGCTGGAAGAGTTAGCTTGGCTACTCCTTCACTGGTAACTTTAGTGTGGTCTGTGGGTGAGTATGATAGGAACTCCTGCTCATGCTAGGTACTTCTGTATTAGGTTTTTGGTTTGATGATGGGATGAAAATAGCATGCACTCCTTTAGATAACAGCCTCCACCTGTTCAGTGGTAAAATTCTATCTATAATCATCCTGTACCATGTTGCTGCAATATTTGATGTCCTGGATTGATTGCTGCTCTTATCACACTTTCCAAAGCAACAGAGATTAGTAGAAATTGTTTGGTTTAATATGATGGTTATCTTTCCTCTCAAGTCAAAATTTGCTGTCTTTGTATTGCTTCACCAGAAAAGTCCTATATGATTCAATTATTTCTCCATATTATTCTAAACTTGTATTTTCTTTTACATTGCACATCTTCTGACCTCAAGTTAACTGATTGCCAGTTAACTCAAGATGGATAAGAGTTCTGTAAATACTAAGAGAGTTGCTGTCTAAATGTTTTGTTCTAGGATTCAGATGTTTGTTCTTTAATCCCTGGGCTCAGTCATGGAGAAAATGCATCTGATTATAGCCTGTTGTGAAAAATCTCTGGCAAAACTCAGTCTGCCCTTTGAAGTGCTACCAGTTTGCAAACACCACTCTTGTTTCTCTTTGATGTCAGACAGACACAGCACCAATTTCAAGTTTACTTGCTGCTTAGCCAAAGCCAGCACCTGGATGAAAAGCAGCTGTTTTAAAAACTGGGCTCAGAAGGATGCTATGAAGTTTTGCTGGCATGTGCTGCATAAGGTTGCTTGGATCCACGCACATTTGGAAGATTACAAAACCCATTTGTGGTTGGAGGTTGTTCTTGTTAGGGTTTAGCAGAGTCTGCTGCAGCAAGCAAGCACTCCCTTTGCAGAAGCACAAGAATGATATTCTGCTGAAGTTGGGGTCTCCCACTATGGGAAATGCTTTGAACTTTTCTGCTCCTAAAAACATATCGAGGGTAACTTTCTCCCCTTTTTAAGGCTGTCTGATCATCGGATGCTTTTTGTTTGCTCATTACTGCTGGCTACACAGATAGCTGTTGTAGCATAAAAGAACGAAAGCCATGAAATCCCAGAACAAAATCTTGTCACTTTTCTAATTTGAGCTAGGCTGTAGCCCAATCTGTGCTTGGATACATGGTAAACTGTGCCATCGTTATCTTCAGGCATGAGTATTGCAGCTCACAGCTAGCAATGAAGGATTTCAAACCACTGTTCCTGTGATGTACTCTGTGTTTTCTTCCCTGATGGTTACACAAGCCAGCCCAAAAGCTGCCCTCCTTGAGACTGGTCCTTCTTGAAAAGAGTTCATACATAGACTCATGTGGTCTCTGTAGAAAGCACAGCATTACTTATGCATAAACAGAATGGAAAATGCAAGGTGGGAGGAGTTACTGCTGTACCAAAAGGACAGAAAATAAATAAAATCTAGCCAAATTCTGGGAGAGAGTTGAATCAGCGATTGGAGAGCTTGGAGTCCTAGAGCTGTTGTGGGCTGAACGGCATGGCAGCAACTGCAAAGGGGAAGACTTGGGGAGAAGGGGACAGGAAGGAAGGAGGGACCTCCTTGTTCTGCTTTTGAACAGTGGTCTGCCCAGTGTGCAGGTGCAGCCAACCCTCTGAAATAAAACTGTGAAATAGAGTTAGGAGACACAAGAAGGAGTTAAGGAGGAGATGGATATTTTTTCTTTTTTTTTTTTTTTTTTAATATGTTTAAGTGGTGTTTTAAAAAGAAGTTATTTATCTTGGATGCCATTTTTACCATTGATAGTCTCTTTCTTCAGCTTGCTTTCTAGCATAATCAGCAATTCTGAAGCTGGTTATTAGCAGGAGGATGACTTGCAAATTGTGATTAGTGGGCTACAGCTTTCAAATGCACTTCTTATTTCCCTCCTCCTCCCCCTCTCCCTCACCCCCCGCTCCCCTAATATTTGGTTTCCAGTTTCCTGAATATGGTAATATGATGCCATAGCTTCTGGTTCACCGATGAGACACAACAGTGTATATCTTGGGGAAAAATAGGAAATGCCTAAATAAAAAAATGCTTGGGGTAGGTTAAACCTCTTGCTGCAACTAGGAACCAAGTGTTTTGGAAGCTACTAGGAAAGCAAGAGCATCACACTGAAGGTTGGGTGTGTAGCTTGGCCTCTTAGAATCTGAATCAGTAAGTGACATTCTTAAGCAGGTCTTTCTCAAGTGGGTTGATTCAGCACCTTGGGTCTAGGCATGTCCATTGGTGTGTGAATTTTAAGAGCAAAAGAGCTATGGGTAAGCTTACATGTTCTGTTGGAATAAGACTGCTGCACTGCATTTATGTCTCATGGAGCTGGTGCAAGACGGTTTTGAATTGTTGAGTAAATGCAACTCTGTGGTTAAAAACCCAGGGTAAATTCTTTGCCTCCCTTTGAAGCCAACAGAAAACTTGTCCCTGACTTCAGAAGGTCAGGATTTTGGTCTGTGTTGGTCCTAGCTACACAACAACTTTCAGCCATGCTAACAACTTTGACATCAGTATTAGTGACGGAGATTGGAAGTAAATAAAAAGAGTTTTTCGGGCAACGGACTACAAGTCATAGCAATGAGACAGAAAATGCTTAATGTGTAAACCTTTATTGTTTTGTACCAAAGACTTCTTTTACACAAATAGTTGACTAATTTAGGATGCCTAGACATGCTTTAATGGTCAAGAGAAACAGGTTTTAGAGAAATCTGATATATTTCCCCATCAACTGTCTTTTCTTTTCTGCTTTTTTCCTAATAGTAATTAACACAAGTATTCTGAACAAATATTTGAAATTAATTTTGAATGCTCTTTACTTTACCAGTTGCTGAACTGTTTCTATTCACAGCAAATTGTTAGTAATTTACTGCCTCTTATTGTGTGTCTGTCTTTGAATTTTATGAATCAAGTATGGGTGTGTGTGGGGGGGTGTGTGTGCATACGTAAATAGAGTACAGATATTTTAAAGTGTGTCTCCTCACGTGCAAGTTTTAATTTTGCAGACGATATCAGAAATTGCAGAAGATAATGAAGCCCTGGTAAGAACCTGATTAGATCATCACCTTGCACACTTCCTCCTCTTTTGCATGACTGAGTTCAGGCCCTCGCGCTAATCTTTGTATGTAAATACAACTGTGCGTATTCATTCAGCCAGTCTTCAACATTCTCTGTTTTCTGCTCTTTGATGCCTGTTAAAATTTTTTGATGAAGCCTTTTTTGCTTTGCTTGTGGAATGGGTGCTTCATTTCTGTAACTTCTGCAGGGGCTTCTACTATTTCCTAAGTAAGGCTTTTGTTTTGTTTTTTAATTTGAAAAACAAATAATTTCCCTGCCTTCCCTAATTCCCCTCTTAAATTTGTCTGGCTTACATGATTGATAGTAGGCAATTTTAATTGTTGATGTTAGTGAGATGAAAGTAAGAGTCATTGTGCCAGTTTGAATTCCTATTATTTTCTGGTCCCAGGTAATGCTAGTTGTTGCAGATAACTGCATGAAGGAAAACTGTAATATAGTAAAGGGCCTCATATCAGAAAGTTTAGAAGCATGCTTACTACCCTGATGATTTTGAATGGGACTCTTCTGTGTGCTTCAAGTTAAGCACAGGCTTCATAGGCTTTGATAAATTGGGACTCCAAGAGATATTCTAATATCTTGATTTGCTTGCACGTTTGACAAGTCAAGTATAGCTAAAACCCAAGGAAGCAAAAGAATAATTAATCAATTAGCCATGCATCTGTCACTCTGAGAGCTTGATGTGGTTTATCATGCAGGAAATGCAGCTCCCCATCTGAATGCTTGCTAAATCATACTTTCACAAATCTGCTGTAAACCAAGTTCTGAAACATTTGTTATTAAATCATTGCATAATAAATAAATTAGTAAGAATAAATTTGGCAGGAAACTTAAATCCTTCCTCTACATTGGCTTTCTCAACCTAATACAAAGTAACTTGTTTCATAACAGAAAAGTTTAGATTCTGAGGAAAATTATTAAAATGGCATGAGGTTTTCAGAATTCTTGGCAGCATCACCCCTGCCAAGACAAGGTACCTCCTGTACATTTAGATGGTGGGTTTTTCCTCACTGCTGTGAAACTAGTTCTTTGTGGAAGAATAGTTACACTCCTTCAGCATCTCTCTGCTTCCAAATTCTGTTATCCTGTAGGCTTCTCTACATTAAATTCTGTGATTGTCCTCAAGACAGTACTAAAACACTGACTTATAGTTGCATTGTACGTTGGTTTTAGGACCTGATCATAGTGATGATCTGAATTAATTTTTTTTTTACATGGTTTAGTTTCGTTTACTCATGGGAACAAGGCATTACCTGCTTTAAGAGGATTCTTATCGATCAGTGTAGATACAGCACATCAGTGGATACAGTAGTAAAGAAAGTGTATGTGACTAAAGTTTATTCTAACTTTGGAAGTTAAATCCTGTCAGTAGAAGCTTCAATTTACATCAGGGCACACAGTTTAATATTTTGATTTCCATCAGTAGTATGTGAAATGATACAATTAAAATAACACAAATTCTTGAGTTTGGGAGATGTACTAAAAAATATACCAGAGCCATTGGTCAGGTCGTGAAACCAGTAGTTCTGGAAGCAGGCCTGTTTGTACATTTTGAAGGTAAAGTGTATACACTAACGCTCTATGAGTGTAGTTATCGAACATCCTGACTATTTTTCACCCATGTGTTAATGGGAAAAGGTCCAATGAAACAAGTACTATAAAAAAAAACCCTCAGAGCTTGGTATAATGAACTAAACTAAACTTTAAAACTTTGCAGCCTCCACCTGCTGTCTTCTTGACTAAAGAAACCCAAAGAAACCAAATGCTAAGTTAAAAAAAAGAAAAAAGTTACTTTTGATTTACAGGATGACATATTTCAATAAGTGCCAGTATTTCATTTTGTCTCTGGTAGCTTGCACATGCTAGCCTGACATAGTTAAAACCTGATTTTCACAGAGAGGCCTTGTTTAATAGCTTTGTCCACTGAAGGAAGTTGTTCTTCTAAAATCTGAGTTTCTTTTTCTCTGTCTTTTCAGTTTTAGGGCTTCCCATTTTATTTTGGGATTTTATTTATCCCATGTTGGCTAATACTTGGATTAAAAAAAAAAATAAATCCCATGAAACAGCGTTATCGGTTGACCTTTGCATTGCAGTACTGAAGTGTAGTCAAATCACGCTGATGGGAGAGTGATGTTTTTACTGTGTAGTTAGTTATTCCTGGTCTTTTAAGAAACGCTGGTCCATTTAAGGAAATTACCATGAAATGCGCAAAACCAGGAATTTAAAAGATGGGGAATAAGAGAAAAGGTAATTCTAATCACATCTTCATAAAGAACCAGTGTGTAATAGTTCCTCTGGGCTAGTTTCCCATGCAGACAAATGCTTAATGTACCCCAAAGTGGATTTAGTCATACTTGTAATAAGAGTATCTACACCTGGATTTATTCAATAATAGTGACAGTTCTGTTTAAAATTCACAGCTTGTTTTCGTTAATCAGAGTTAATTTTCAAGCTTAGAGAAGCCCTGCTACCAGGGGTACAAAGCTATTTCAGGTTTTTGGAATGCAAGTGGTTTAAAATCAGTAGGGCTGATGCCTTGTAATGAATGCAGTGAAACTGTACCACAGAGAAGTATTTCAGTGGTGCTTGGCACGATGCAAAAAAAAAATGGTCTGTGTCAATTGCAGTGTAACAGTTAAGTACATTTTCTGTAATCATCTAGAAAAATAGGGGCAGCTACCCCGCAGATTGTTCAGTCATTTTCAGCTGTACTGAGTTAAGTACCAAGTAGGTGTGAATTGCTCCTAGATTGATTTGATGGTGGCTTAACTTCACCCTTGGAAAGGTTGCTTGAGGAAACAAGATAGTGTAGAAGCAATGAAGAGGAGCCATAGCAATAAAAAAGGTACTTGTTCACACTGTGCTTTCAAAGCATCCCGCTGCATCATCAGTCTTCCTTTTAGACTTACTTAGGTTCTTACCCCCATGGCTTTTCCAGAGCTCTTGTCTTCTGATGATTAGATATATTCTGCTCCCCTGTTTAAATTTATTCATGGCCGTTTATCCTTGACAACTCTAGCTTAAAAAGCTGTTCTTACTCTTTGATGTTGACTTCAATGATGTCAGGCCTTCCAGCTGCCCAGTATGAGCACAGTTGCTGAATGATAAGGGACTTAAAGTTAACCGCTTCCGTAAGTCCTGCATTTGGTAGTAGGCTGCTACTCTCTTGTTGCCTCCTGCCCAGTTAAAGTTGTTTCTTTGCTGTCTTCCCTCTGCACAATTAGAGATCAGCTTTGGTTCTGTTTTGCGCATGAAAAATGGTTTGTGTAAAGATGTATTGTCTTTGGCTTCTAGTCCTAATGGGCTGGTGGCTGTATCCTGGTTGTGACAGGCAAGCAACAGTTAATTTCCAGGTTCTCCTATGCAGCTTTTATCATACAAAATATGAGACAGTCCACCAGACTTTTATAAGGACAGTCCACCTTGTAAAAGCTCATGTTTCTTTTTTTTTTTTGTTTTTGTTACCTGATGACAGCTGAGCCTGACTAATTATCTCAATTTAAAGAATCATTTGAAGAGCTGAATGTTTTTCTCTCCTCAGTAGCAATACAATGTTCATTTTGGTATGTGTGTTAAACATGTGTTGAGGTTTCTTTTTTTTTCCCCCAAAAAAACATGTAGGGGATTTGGGTGCTGAAGTCCCATTAGTTTATTTTGATAAGAAATCCAAATTGCTTTAGGCATCTTTCAAAATATCAGACATAATTCTATATGTACATCTGAGGATTACTTAGCACACATGATAAAAAGATGGTTTAGCATGAAGGCAGGTGAGAGACAGGTATCGTGGTCAGGGTCACATGCACATTCCTGTCATTTTTACTTCTAGGAAAGAAAAGCTAATGTCAAATGTGTGGAGTTTTTTTTCTTCACAGTTTCTTGAGGTAAGAATGCAGAAAATTCTTAGGAATGTAAATTAACAGGCTTTGACCTGATATTTCTCTAAAACCTAGAGATGTGAAAGGCGACTGTTGACTTACTCTTCAGTCAGGTTTGTCTGAGGGGTTGAGGTGCACAGGCTGTGGATCAGAGCATGGCCATCCATCCACACTAGAATGGCTCACGCTGGGACAGCCGATGGTGTTACAGACCACAGCTTTCTGCTGCTTCTGAGGCTTTTGCCAAGAGCTGCTGTGGGTGAGGAGGTGCTCCATGACCATCCTCGCAAGGGTGATTAGAGGAGGGGAGTCAGACATTGGAGAATAGGGAAACTTAATCAGCTGTCCCAGCGGAAGATGTCCCCACCTAAGAGCCAGAGCCTTGAACAGCATTCAGGAGGGATTGTACAAGTAGCTTGCTTGATAGCATAGATCGTTAAAATGTCAGTGTTAGTGAGATATGAAATTGCAATTATACAATGCATCTTTCTGATCATTTTTCCCCTCTTGCTGCTATGACACACATTAAAAACGATCTTTATCAGGAATTAGCATCGAACTATTAAGTCATTTTGCCAGAGCAGCAACGGTTTGATATTTACAGAACTGTCGTGCCTTGTGCTGTGGATTAGTCTAAACAGGTTTTAGGAAGAAAGAGGCCCCATTGTTTTTCGGCCTTTTTGTATGACAAAAACACTTATTCACTGAGATTTTGAGTTAAACAGCTCCTACCACATACTTTCTAAGATTGCTACTTTTATGAACAAGCTTTGATTCCCTTGAAATTTCTAGCATCTATTCTGTCTGCTGCTCTTAATAGTATGAGTGCGTCTCTTTGTGTGTGTATTGAAATGAATTGCTTGGAAGTCTATTTCTACCTATCTGCTTATGTTTAAACACAACATGTTTAAACACAATGAATCAACACCACTCCCTTCCCCCTCCAGATACTTTAATCCTTATCTTGCTCTTGTTACCCTGGAGATTACTTTCATCTCTAGCTGTGCTATTCCTAATGCTTATCCTTTAAGCCTGGCTTTTGATTTTTGCAGTGCCACTTAGTGTGTAAATGTGTGCAGGTGCATATGTATAGCTATATATTTAAAAATACATGCTACGTATGTGTGGTGCTGCATAATATATAGAGTTGAAGTATTTCTTGCTGCTTGATTAGTCCCAGTGTTGCACCTCTTCACTCTCATTAATTATTAGAAGCGATGTCACTGGAGTGACACCTGGTGGGGTGTCTGATCATTTTAAGTTGAAAAGTACTTTCACCTTCTGGATCCCAAATGGCTGTATCACTACTAAAACCAGGTTTATACATCAATACCAGTATTTTCAGCTCCATTAACCCAGTTTCCCCTCCAAAGCTGCGGAGGAGACTGGATTAAGTGGCAGGATTAATCAGTAGTTTTGGTGAGAAGAATAAATGAGACTGTTGAATGTAAAGGAATTAAACTAACTTGAATTCCTGCCACTGCTGTTCTGAAGGTGAATATCCATATGGAGGTTTAATACAGTTTAAGTAATCCCTCTAAATTATATCTATTGTTAATGGGGATTAGCTTTCATGTACAATTAGTTTATAGAAGAGTATTTATGTACTAAATACAGGTTAATTGACTAAATTTTTAAACAATACATGAGAAAATCTAGGGGAGATAAATTATCTGCTTAGTTTAATGCTAGGAGAGATATTTTTATCTACTTTTCAACCTATATGGCCTATCTTGTTTTTTTTTTTTAATTGGATCTAATTTAGTCTAGCTTCTTAAAATACCAGAATTCCATATATTTGTGGAAGTATTCTGTCATGAAGATGTATGAGAATTTGGTACAAGTTTTTAGATGAAAGCTTTTCCTAGGGGTGCTGTTTTATTTGTGGAATCATAAATAACCATTTTATGCAAAAGGAATGGATTGGGGAAAATGACAGGACTGGAGCTGATTAAATTTCCTGTGAAGTCATCTTGGTATGAAATCCTTGGTTATTTGGAATGCTAATGATGACATTTTAAATCTAATTTAATTCTTAAAAGATTTGCAATATTAAAACCCAAGCAAACAAAACCAACCTCCCTACCCCCCAAAACAAAACCAAAACCTTCCAGATCATGTATTTGCTGAACAAAATATTCCTTGCAGAATTACAGTGGATTTTTTTAAAGACGCTCTATTTTTCCTGTTTGCTCTTTGGTTTTTATTCATTTTGTCATAAATAATCAAAGCCACCATGGATACCCTTACTTACTGTGGAAGAGAAGGGTGTGTTTTGGGTTTTTTTCTTTTTACTCACAAAATGTCAAGAATGGCAAGTTTATTCTTAGTGGAGGGCATCTGTGGAGTTTTGATGACCAAGAGCGCCTGTCTTAAATGAAGGGGCCACTAAAGACTGCATCTCACCATCAGAAATCCCTAAAGGGCAGATTATATCAAATCCAGTAAACTGGCTATTGGAGTTGCTACATTGAAACTGGTTTTCTGCCTTATTCCTCTGTACTGCAGTACATGTCTTCCATCTGAATGAATGTTCACTTATTTGTGTTGGGTTGGTGCAGGACAGTAGGGGAATAAATCACACAATAAAGATTACCAATTACATTGCTTAACTATGGCTATAGTATTAGACTTCAGGTTTTCAACATACTGAGCGTTGTAGTTCCAATCTGACAGAGTTTTTTTAATTTTATCTTTTTATTAGGTAAGCTGTTGCATTAAAATCAGTGGGACTATTCACGCTGTTTAGATTGATTGTATGCTTATGCTTGTTAATGGCTTAGTGGCAGAGTACCTTGCAGGTGGTTTGGCATGCCCTTAAAGGTAATATGCTGCTTCATTTCAGGCTCTATGCACTGCTGCTTGTATTGAGTAGTTATCTCATTGAACGACTTCATTGAAATCATTATAGCTGCTGACTGTTTGGTGCCCTGACTATATATAGAAATGAAGCGAATGTTTAAAAGCTCATTTTTAACATGGAAAATTCCTGTGCGGCTAGTCAGGTTAGAGCATATTCTTTATGTTGAGTTTAAACCTGTTTTGAATTTAGTTGAGTTCATACAAAAATGCATTGAATCATAAATTTACAGGTGTAAAGTGCAGTGTAATGCCCTGCAAACCCTAAACGATTTGAGCTGCATGCTTGGATAAACCATGGGAACTTTGCAATTTGCTTGACATGGTTGCCCATAGATAAACAAACGGAGATGCATCTTCAGGTTCAAAGAAAGAAATCGAGGCATTAACTATTGGAAAATTGCTGCTCAACAGAAAATATCTTCTGGTGCATTTTTAAAATATATTTGCTTCCTTGTAAGAGAAGGAACGAACAATCCACTAACTTTCTGCCAATCTGCTTGATACAGAGGTACGAAAACGTGGCACTTCTGTATGACATTCAATTAGGAGCGTTTCCAGAAGTTGCTAAGAAAAAGCTCGCTTCTTTTCTTCTGTTAGATCTAAAACTCTGAATTTATAAGAGAACTTTAATTTGGACTATCTGATTTCCTTGAGCATTGCATGTAGCGTTCTCCTGGGGATTAGTTCTTCTCTTACAAAATTGCTTTCTTCCAGGTGACTGTTCTTGATGTCCATGCTAAATTGTTTTGGAGACTATCTGTTGCACGGCCTCTCTTGCTCTTCTGCTACCTCTTAGTCCATAATTGGCTTCATTTTCCTACTTTTCTGAAAGCTTCCTGCTGCTTTATTCCCTCAGTCATTGCCCTGCTGCATTACTGGTAAATGTTGTCATGACTCCTGTCTCTTGCAGCTTTGGAGATATGTTGTCCTTTACACTGACTGCATTTGTTGAGCTGATGGATCATGGGATTGTATCGTGGGATACATTCTCTGTGGCATTCATTAAAAAGGTAAATTTGTAATCAATGCTATCTGTTCTATATCAGTTTAAATTTTTGAGGTGAGTCGTGGTTTGTGTGTGTATTTTTTTCCCCAGATACATTATTTAGGTCATTGGTAAAAAAGGTATATGAAAATGGGATTAAAGTGCTATTTCAAACTATAAATATTTGTAGTTGCAGGATCTGGCCCAACTTCTGCGGAAATCAGTGGGAGTGAAATGGGATCAACACTGTATTAGGCTGATGACACAAGAAATTGCTTGCTCAATTACAGTGTGACCTCCCTGTGCAGATACCATGCAGTTGAAGCAAAAATTAGTATTTTGATTTAATGTGAATTAAAATGAGTAATACCATATTTCTTGAAACAAAAACAGCACTGAAATGTTTCCACTGCTGGTATGGGAGAAAGAGAAATGAGTTAGCTTACAAATTGAAATTAAGCTGATATCTACTGAGTTTATCAAGTTGAACTCTGGCCCTCCTGAATCTTGCAGCTGAGGTCTGTGGTTTTGAAACAGATCTTTCTACGATTTGCAACATTTTTTTTTTTTCTTATATGTAGGAGATGTACAAAAGCAGCAGAAACACAGGAGTACTCTTTAAGCACAGAGATTTAACAGACTTCAGAAAAAAGTTGTTGTTACTGATTTAACCGTTTTCATTTACTGTGGGGAAGAAAAACCCCACACCTCTTTACAAAGAATTTTCAAACCAGATTGAACTCAGAACTTATCTTAAGTTAAAGTGTGTTTATACAGGTTCAAAAGAAACCAGAGTTACTTCACTAAAATTGTATCAGAAGCAGTAATGGAATGAATAGAACCTGTGGCAAAGATCTCTTAATTTTAACAGTGTGTCAGAGCAAAGAATTTTAATGTAAATTTGGTTAGAAAATGGCTACCACCAAAGGAAAGTACAAATTTGATTTTGTTGCCAAAAGTGAAAGAAGAATCAATTGTGAAAAGAGCATTAGATATTAAAGCTCAGTTTTGGTTATTAAAAATTATGGATGCTATTTGTAAGAAAAATTAGTATAATTGATCTGGTTTTTGGACTGTTTCCTCTTCCCCTCCCCCCACCCCCCGATCTTGCAGTCTAGGTAGATTATGATGATGATTATTGTTATCTTTTCGTGGGAAAAGAAAATAGTACAACTGTTTTTTAACTGACTTCATGAGATGCAAGGTCAAGCTCAGAATGCCTTATTTGCTAGGGGAACCTACTAAGAAGTGGATGAAGAAACTTGCTAAAATGAGTTTAGATCAATGTACTTTGTTAGTGACTCAAAATTATTGTCTTTGTCTAACCCTATCAAGATCTTTTGCCTTGCGGGTTGTATAGTAACTACAGAAGAAAGTGTTGTGTGCACCTCTGTTAATGGCTCATCTCTTCTGTCTGGCACTTCCATAGGTTTCCCTGGAGGGTGACCCAATTTCAAAAACAAAACAAAAGACACAAACAAAAACATTCTCACAAAGTACCTATGAAAACCAAAACTGGCGAGTAAAAACCAAAAGTGAAACTGGTGGACAAGAAAAGACCAAGGAGAAGAATAGGACAGTTAGAAGAGAAACAGAAGGACAAAGAATGACAAAAATAGAGGCAGGAGGCATAGGTGTGTCCTGACCTGCCATGCAGTTAGGAGCCAGAACAGCAGAGCCCTCAGTGGGGCTCTGTGGGCAAGGGGCAAAACTAAAGGAGCACCTTTGGACCATGTATCTCTGGCGCCAATCTGCAGCTTTATTCTCACTTGCTTCTCTGACCTTGGCTTTTGACAGGCCACTTGAAGTTGCTGTTGGGCTAGCTCAGGTGGTTGACAGGGTGGATAAGGGAACTGATAAGTTTCTGCTAGCTGAGGGGGAACTTTGCAATCCTAATTCAAGTGCTTCTGCCCTTTGAAGCTGTCTTTTGTGTTAAATGGAAGCCAAACTGGAATGGGGAGGAATTAATCTGAACTTTTTTCTGGAATAGTTTTCTAACTTAAAATGTAGAAGCTGGAGGAGACCTCCAGGGGAACCTCTAACTGCTTCACATGACTAACTCCTTGGTGTTGGATGCAGTCTCCCTCCCATCCTTTGGGTACATAAAGACTGCTATTCCAACTGCTGCAAATAAGTATTGACACTTTCAAAGGGAGCTTTGTTCTTATCTTAAGGGAAAACAGCATAATTTGAAAAAACTTTTCTTATGGTACGCAAGATTCTCTCAAGACCTTTTTCTTGCTTATGACAATAAAGTTTATTTCCAGCTTCCATAGTTGCCTAAAGGATTTGGAAAATGTTCTGGTGATTGGATATCAAAATACACTATACAAATTTGGTACTCCCATCTTTAGTTCCTACAAGAGGAGAAATGAAGTTTGTAGTATTGGTTGAGATAGTGAAAAACATCTCTTCGAATTATTTATATAATTGCTGTTTCATAACTGTGTGATGCAGAGTCTTAACCTTGATGAATTGTTTACTCTGCCTTCTAAAATGTACTGTGCAGGAAAAGGGGGTGGCAGCAGGGAAAGTATCTCTGTGTCTCACAACTGTCAGTTGGTTTTTCGGTAGTCAAGTGCAACTCTAGGTCCTTACTTGAAAATGAGATGCACGCTTTGAAATTTTACTATGCATTAGGCTTACAGAGAACAAAACTTTGTCAGATTTTTCTGTACATTTCTGACATCAAAATGGTCCAGGCAAATAACTAATGAACATACCACTGCTCAGAAAATCAGACCTGTTTTCTTCACTGTTCTTTCCCTGTGTGGTTTTTGTTGGAGGCACGGTTTATTTTCTTTGGGTTTTTTTCAGGGGGTGGGGAGGTGGCTTGGTTTTTGGTTTTGTTGTTTTTTTTTTTTTTTAAATTTTTGTTTTTTTAACTTTTGAATTCACTCCTGTGCTTTAAGTGATGCTGAAACAGGAAGAGAACTCAGATGATGTATTTTAGTTTGCTATAGGTTTCTCATCTACCCTCACTTTGCATGTGTAGCTCCTGTTTCAGCAGGGCACTGGGGCTGAATGTGTAAAGGCATTCTGATTCCTAATTTCCCTTGAAATTGGTAGGAAGTTAAGCAGCCAGCCACTTCTTTTGTATGTCGCTATATATGTCCTGATAGGACTATGCAGATATTAAGGTTACAGGTATTTTGCTGAACAAATAGTTTTATCCTTAATGAGATACACCCATGTCACAGGTTTTCATGCGAAAGTGCAAAGCAATGAAGTTGCTTATTTCTGGAGGGGAGGTTGTATTTCTGTGAGCTTGCATTATTTTTATCATCAGAAATTTAGATAAATGAGTGCAGGATTATTTTTGGATGTTGAAAGTCCTCCCTGCGCGTGGTGCTTAATAAGCAGAGAACAGCAAATAACACAAATTTGAACTTCTATTGATTCTTGTCTCTTTTCAAGGGTCTTTTTTTTCCAAATCCAGAACTTCAAGTATGGTAATAGAATTTCTTTTTAACCCAATTTTGCTCCCTCTGGAACTGGCATGCCTTATTTATTAGGGTAGACAAGCCTGTTATTTCTGGCCAGACTTCATGCTTCAGCAAGGTGGTTATGAATATACGTAGCTTGACATGCAAGTTACCTAGCAGATATTTTGCATGTATGTTCAGTGTGGTATGTCATAGCTTTTTAAACACACAAGCCAGCTTCATACCTTGGGTTTGTATTTATGATTAAAAGACGTTATGGTCCAGGGTCAGAAGAATAAATCTGTCTAAGAATAAATCTTCCTAGACTGAGGTTTCAGTTACCTATACTGTTACATTTCTGCAGGCCCCTGATATGAATATGTTATATCCCAGTGAAGCATTTACACTGCCACTTGAAATATCATGGGAAGGAGCTGCTGCACCAAAAATAATTCATGCATGTCAGGGCTTCTAAAGAGGATGGTGACAGCAGTTTGACAAGTTGGGACACAGTCTGGAGATATTGTATTCC